ATGGCATGAAGCAAAAGGTGAGATTTAGAAAAGTCTTTTTTTTTTTTTAAAGTAAAGTAATAAACAGAACACACAGCAAACTACAGTGTGAAAGTCCAGCTCATAGACCAAACCAGAAATAGTCACTGATTTCTCAATGCCACTTTGTTAAAGAGGTCACTGGAGAGCCTTGTTTTGAAGTTTCTTGTGCAAATGTATTCCAGGTAGAAACACTGGTAAACATACTTCCTGTTTATGTCCATTCATAACTATTCATTCCCACCACTTAACTCTGATTAAAGCAAAAATGAATTAAAACTTAAGGTGCAGGAGGGGGGTTACCTGGCAGGAAGAAGTCAAAGAAAATGTTGAATCTTACCCTGCCCTCAATAGACACAAACCCCAGGTGGCATAGGTAGTTGCCTCTCAGATGTGATTTGAGAAGTATGCCAAAGCTACCTGTATCAAAAATATTTGCCTACTGACTTGTCCAAGTGTCTTAATTCCCATCATTAATACCTACAACTCGGAAGTAAAGCATTAATTAACTAAAATCCCCTGTGATAATGCACATGGCTGAGAGGGAGGGGCTCTGGTTTCTTTATTAGGTCGATCAACAATTTCTTAGGAAAGGTAATGCGAGCCCCAAGAGATTGCATTGTGGGAGGAAAAGGAAAGGTGAGAGATCTAGAACAAGGTACAGTGCTCCCATATTGGAACCAAATTTGCTGAGTTAAGATTGCTCATCATCCCCTTAATTCAGTATCTGACTCCTGTATTTTGCTTTACCCTTTTGCTGGACTTCCAGGAAGAGCCAAAAAAGTAGGACACAGATTATATACAGAAACAAACACGTAGTTTATTATTAAAATGGTAAAATCATACAAAATTTTATTATTAATATACAAAATTTCTGTAACTCTGGGAAGTCAAGTTACATCATCGAGTTGTTTATTTGTAAGTGTTGGCAATAGCTCTTGCAAGAGTCAGGAACACTGGGCAGGTTTCACAATATGGAGTGTACTTTTCAGTCAATAGTATTGCTTCAGGAGAAATAACGTTTCACAGATTTTTCCTGTAACTTCCAGAAAAGTCAGCCAGCCAGATCTAGGTTCAAACTTCTTTACAAAGCCATTTTCCTACAAGAGAATAAATTTAACATCAGTGGAAACAAAGTTTGCTGTAATAAAAAGCAAAGAACTTTCATTTTC